GGGGGCCATGAAGGGCCGTCAGCAGGAGGAAAGGGGTCCAGCGGGGGTCTCCGAAGCTCTGCAGCAGGCAGGGGTGCAGTGGGAGGGGCGCCGGGGCCCGGGGCAGGGCAGCAGCATGGCTCAGGAACTTCCTTCCCGGGCTTTGTCCAGGGCGAGCAGGGAGCGGGCAGACGGGTCGTGGGGAGAAAGCCAAGGGTGGGAGAGTCACAGGCTGGGGCCTGGAGGCCCCGTGACCTCACTTTCTGCTCTGGGATGGTTGCGGGAGAACCGTTGGGGTCTGGGAGCAAGAGAAATCAGGTCCCAGTGCCACCTGCGGGCAGCCAGTGGGGGTGTGGTGGGCTCATGGGCTAGGCTCTCAGGTAGTGATGATGCAGCCCCCAGGCCGGGCCCCCCCGCCTGCCTCCTTCCCCACTGCAGGGGTCCGAGGTTGGTTCAGCTGCAGGGGTGAAGCTCACCACTAGCTGTCCCTGTCTGGGGATGGTTCAGGGGAGGCTTCTCTCATGGGAGGTGGCCCCCGAGAGCAGGGGAGGGTGCAGACAGAAGCCTCGGGGCGATGGAAGCGGAGGGCAGCCCCTCTGGGGTATGCTGCTCACAGATGCCAGTGGGGGTTGGGGGGTGCCTCAGCAGGACTCCATGGGGCAGAGAGGAATGATGTGTGGGGTCCAGGAAGGGCCTTCAGGTCGCCAACACAGCTGTTGCTCTCTGGTGGACGGAGGGTCAGTCAAGAGAAAGAAGGGTCTAGCCAGCAGGACGGGGACAGGGACAGGGGACAAGATCAGAGGACAGAGGTCACCCAGGAGAGAGAAGGGTTAGGCCAGCGGGAGGCAAGAGAGACGTGTTCTGGGCACAGGGAAGCAGAGGACAGGGATGGAGACAGGGATGAGGATGGGGACAGGGATGGGGATGAGGACGGGGCAGAAGACAGGGATGGAGGCATGGATGGGACGGGGACAGGTGGCTCCCGACACCGTGTGGGTCCTGGGCGCACACAGGCCGGCCCCGAGGGCCAGGAGGCTAGCCTGCGCTGCGGCTGGCTTCTTCCCGTGGCAAGTTACGTCGCCCAAGGGTGTCCTGGGACAGACCTGAGGCAGCTGGTGTTACCGTCCCTGAGCCCTCTGTCCCAGGTCTGTGCTGAGCCTGGGACCCGCTCACAGGCACAGCCCGGCTGCCCCCACCTCCTGAGGACAGGCCTGTGCCAACCCCACTAGACCCTCCGTCTGGCCCCTCAGGGATGGTTCCGGCAGCCCTGCCCGCGGAGGGGAGAAGGGCCCAGGGCAAAACCCGTGGATCTTCCTCCTGAGCGTGGGTCCGAATGAGTTCTTTCTTTTCTGGAAACATCTGCGGGGTGTAGACAGGACTCCAGCCACCCTCCAAGCCAGCAAGGCAGACGTTTCCAGAAAAGACAGGAAGAAGATGGCACAAAGGTGACCCCAGTTCAATCCCCGTCACCCCGTAGGGTCCCCTGGGCACTGCCAGGAGTGACCCCTGAGCATAGAGCCATGAGTAAGCCCTGAGCACAGCTGGGCAGGAGTGACACCAAAATTTTAAAAAAATAAATCCATGTGGGGCTGGAGCAATAGCACAGAGGGTAGGGCGTTTGCCTTGCATGTAGCTTACCCGGGTTCGATTCCCAGTATCTCATATGGTCCCCTGAGCACCGCCAGGAGTGATTCCTGAGTGCAGAGCCAGGAGGAACCCCTGTGCATTGCCGGGTGTGACCCAAAAAGCAAAAAAATAAATTAAATAAATAAATCCATGAGATGGGTTTCACAAGCGCGTCAGTCGCTGGGCCTCCATGGGGAGAGGACACAGCTCTGTGGGGTCAGGAGTCAGCCTTGCTCAGCCTGCAGGCCCGGCCCCTGGCACTCGGAGGGCTGCCTTGGTGCTCTCAGTGCCAGGCCTCGGGCAGATGGCACCATGCCCTCGGCCAGCCTCTCCCTTCTCTGCGCGTCCCCGGCCAGTCTGTAGCCTAAGCTTCTGTGCCTTTGCAGGCGGAAGGGCCTCTCCCGCCCCTAATTCACTGCAACCTTCATGGAGAGCTGATTTTGGTTCAAATGGCGTGCGGTGTGTGTGTGTGTGTGTGTGTGTGTGTGTGTGTGTGTGTGTGTGTGTGGTGGGGGGAGGGCAAGGTTATGATTTCCAATCTTTGCCGTATTCACCGAATACTGTCCTGTGTGTGAGTCAAGGTCATCAGTGTTCATGAGCTGGAGTAGCCCTTCCCTCCGGCTTGAATGGCCCCTGGCCAGCAATCAGGCCAGGAGAACTGTTCCGGGGACCCTCGTGACATTGCCCCCCCAACACACACACACAGACACCCACACCCCACCCAGCGTGGGCCCTGACTTTGCAGAGTCCGAGGCCAGCTCCTTCCCCAGGAGCCCAGAGCTGGGTGTGGTCATCGTTCCCTCCCGAAAGTAGCCATTGGCCAGCCAGCCAGCAGGTCAGGCGCCTTGTCTGCTGACCTCCTTGGCCTACAGCAGGAATGCCGCCCCTCCCCGCACTGCACTCAGCTCCTGCAGCACCTACGAAGGTGCTGGATCCCTCTCCCAGGGTGCTGAGACAGTGAGTGAGAGGGGACGCGGGGTGGGGGGTGGGGCGGCCTGGCTGATGAGTGCTGCCCGCCGCACTGTGAAGGGTTCTCCCCTTCCCACCCGAGACAGTGAGGGAGCCACGGAGATAATATACCCCAGGGGAAGGTGCCTGCCTTGCACGCAGCCAGTCCAGGTTCGATCCCTGACACCCCAAAGGGTCCCCCCGCCCACCAAAAGCCCAGCCAAGGGCAATCTCTGAGCACCGCCAGGTATGCCCCGGAAAGAAAAATAAAACTGCAAAGAATGGGGAGGCAGATGGAGATGGGGGCCCCAGCTTTGTCCCCGGGGGGGCTGGGCAGGGCACGGTGGGGTCAGCTGGTGTCAGCCCTGCAGGTCCCTCAGTGCTGGCCAGAGGCCAACAGCCGTCTCTGAGTGAGCAGGCAGAGGTGCTGGGCTTGGGGTCAGGGAGCTGGGCACCAGGGCGGACAGCCCAGATCCTGCTCCCAGACTTGGGGGAGGCCATGGGAGTGGGGGAGAGGAGGATGTGGCAGTGACCCCGGCTGGGGGTCCGGGAAGGCAGCAGAGCCCCTCGCCCCCACAGAGATGTTGGCCTTGTGTGTGCTGCAGGGACCCTCCTCCCCAGGACCTTAAAGACGTGGCCAGTTCCCGCACGGCCTCCTGTTCTTGGTGCCCACTCATGTGCCCCATGGGGGGGTGTGCCTCTCTAGCATCTCAGTGGTTCTGGGAAGTCTGGAAGATTCTTTCCTGGAACCCGAGACTGGGCCCCACTGTGGGGTGGACGCAAGGCTGGGGAGGGCTGTCAACAGCCTCCGCACTCCTGCACCCCACATGCACTGACGCAGCAGCTAAGGCCCCCCGAGTCCTCTCCCTCCCTCACCCTCCTTCCCTCAGGGGATGGAGGCTGCCCTGGCCCTTCTCCCCCCATAGGAGTCCCCCCACCCACGTAAGAGGAGAGCTGGGGGACCCCCCCCCACTGCCTGCCCATGGCCACACCCTGGGGCCGGCACAGTGCTGGGCAAGAGGGAGGTGTCCTGTCCCTCTCGGGGCTCTCTCAGAGGGACCCCGACAGTGCTCCTGAGGGACACAGAGCCAGCCTGGGCAGCAGGTGGGGGCCAGCAGCCCTGGCCCCTAGGGCAGTGCCAGGACAGGAGACTGCTTCTGCCAGCTACTGCCTACCCCTGCCTGCTCCGGAAGCGGGACCAACCCCCTCTTTTGGCCTTGGTGTCCTCATGTGGGCAGGGGGTCCCCGATGTAAGCCCCCCGTAAGTCTCCCTGCAGATGGGGCAGGGGGGCACTCTGGCGCTACCTGCTCGCCCCCCACTGTCCCTATCCCCCCACCCCCACCCCCTCAGGTCCGACAGTACACAGGCCTGCTGCTGGGGCCCTGGGGAGAGGGGGTGGCCCGCACACAGGGTCCCCACTGGACGCCCCTCAGAAACTTGGGTGGGGCTGGGGTCAGGAGGGACTGTGGGGGGGGGGGGCGGAAGGGGGGTAGCAGTAGGGACAATCTCTGGGAGCAGTGGGGTGAAGCCAAGCCTGGCGTCCAGCTCAGCCCCGGTTGGCCCTGCAGAAGCCGTGGGGACCACATAGGCCCGCGAGGCAGCGCGGGGGATTGGGTGGGGGGCGGCATCCACATCAAAGCCCAGCAGGGAGCAGCGCTGGCCCCTTCCCGCGCTGCGGGGCTGCCGCCTCTAATCTGGACGAGCTGCGCTGCTCGCTGGGATTGATGTCAGGAAAGAGCCCGCTCTCAGGGCTGGGGTACCCAGTGGCAGGGGTGTGGGGGACTGATGGTGGAGCCAGTCCCGCTCCTGGTGGCAGCCTGCACACGGGGCATCCTGGGTTCAGGTGGTCCCGGAGCCCGGCGGGGTGACCTGGGGGCGTCGACACTGCCCTCCATCCTCCCTCACCCAATGGGCACCCACCAGGTCAGCCCGCGAGCATGGGGGGGGCGGGACTTGCAGGGCCGATTGTTGGGGCGGGGCCTGCAGGGGGAGGGGATGTTGGGGCGGGGCCTGTACTGTGGGGCTGTTGGGGCAGGGGCCCACAAGGGGTGGGACTGGTTTGGGATGGGGGACTGCAGGAGGAGGGGCCCGCAGGGGGTGGGGCCTGCAGGGGCTGAGCTGGTTGGGGCGGGGCTGGCTATTTGGGGCAGGGCCTAGAGGAGGCGGAGCTGGCTGGGGTGGAGCTACTTGGGGCGGGTCCCACAGAGGCTGAGCTGGTTGGGGCGGGGCCTGCAGGAGGCGGAGCTGGTTGGGGGCGGGGCCCGCAGAGGCAGAGCTTGTTGGGGCGGGGCCTGCAGGAGGCGGAGCTGGTTGGGGTGGGACTATTTGGGGCGGGGCCCGCAGGAGGCGGAGCTGGCTGGGGCGGGGCTATTTGGAGCAGGGCGCTCTGGGGCACCTTTCGTGGGGCTCAGGCATGTGTGCTTCTCGCTCCCTGCCTCTCTCGCAGCCGAGGTCTACATCAGCATCGGGAAACCCGCAGAAGCCAACGCCTGCACCCAGGAGGCCGCCAACCTCTTTCCAATGTCCCACAACGTCCTGTACATGCGGGGCCAGGTGGCCGAGCTCCGAGGGCACTATGACGAGGCACGGCGGTGGTACGAGGAGGCCTTGTCCATCAGCCCCACGCACGTGAAGAGCATGCAGCGCCTGGTGAGTGTGGCGGTTGCAGCCGAGTCCGACCCCAGCGGCCCCACCGGGCTCCCGGGGCCACTGCTGGTTCTCTGGTTCCCTCCCGGCCAGCGCGCACAGCATCGGCTGGTGGCCCTGCATGCAGGCAGAGCCCTCGGCAGCCCCATCTGTTCTCATGGGCACGTCCATGGCCCCGGACACTAGCACTGTCACACCATCCTTGTCCGTCTCTTTGCCCTGTTGGCCGCGACCACCTTGGAGGGTGCCACACCCTGCGGAGAGCCGAGTGCTGGGCTAGGGGAGCACCTCAGATGGCAGTGCTCAACCTTCGCATGCCAGGTGCCCAGTTTCTTCCCTGGTTCCTAATAATTCCCTGAGCCTTGCAGGGAGCAGTCCCCAACACTGAGCTATAAGTATCGAGCACTGCCAGCTGTGGTCCCAAAACAAAATAAAACAAGCAAAACAAATATATAGATTAGGCCCGAGTGCTTTCAATAGCATGTTGCCTAGTCCTGAGGAGCCTGGGACTCCAGCCTGTCTCCCAGGCCGCTGGCTCAGGGCAAGGCCGTGTTACTCCTAGGGGACCAGGCAGGTCCCCCAGTCCTCCAGATGCAGCACCACCCCCCTTACTGCCCCCAACCCTTGCCTTGGAGTCAGTCACCCACCAGTGGGGTTCAGGCTGTCAGGGACAGATGACTCTGGGGCTCCCCTCTGAGAAGGCCACGTGTGAGGACCGGGACCTTCCCGAGAGATAGGAAGGGGAGCCTTGTGATTCAGCCCCCAGGCTCTGGAGGCAGGGGCATGTGTGCAGCACTCCCAGGGGCTGGGGATACTTGAGGGACAGCTGTATGGGCCCAGCAGCCACATCATGGCTTGCTCCAGGAAGCCCATAGCTCCCTGCTTGTGTGACCTATGTCAGGGCACCACAGAGAGGGGAGCCCTGGAACCAGTTAGTGGGGGCAGCCTCCAGGGCCCTCAGCCATCCTATCTCTCGCCGTCTCTCCAGTCGACATGGGCAAATGCGCCAGACCCCCACCCTGCAGCCCGACCTGGCCAAGTGCCCTCTGTGTGCTGGCGGGGGGCGGGGGGGTGGGGTGGCGTCTTCGTGACTCATATCCCCAGCCCACCCCGAATCAGTGCTCATCAGGTCAGAGGCCAAAGGCCTATGGCCATCACATCTCCCTCCCCTGAACCTTCTGTGGCTCCGTCCCGTTGACAGTGTTATTCCTTGTACTACCTGAACATTCGCCTGTTTGATGGGGAATATTTCCAGGGCTTCTCATTCAGGTCTCGCTGGTGGAAGGGCTCATCAGAGCTGTGGAACTCGGGCCCCAGGTGGGTTGGTATCAGCGGGACTGTCCAGCAAAGGCTGCGTGTGCCTCTGCGGGTCCCTGAATGATTCAGAAGTGTGTGTGGAGCTCGGCCCCGGGATCACATGAGCCAAGACAGGATAGGAAACCTGGGCAGGAGGTTCTGTTTCCTCTCCAGCTCTTCCATGCACCGGAACTCCCTGTGGGGGGCCAGGCACTGTCCACCCCAGAGCCAGCAGCCCAGGGCAGCTGGTGACACCCACGGGCAACCCCCGGCCTCCCCTGGCTCAGACTCAGGAGTCTGTCTGAGCAGTCATGGTGGACAACACAGGACTCATAAGTGCTGGCTTTTCTCTGTCCATCTGCTGTATTCAGAGCCTGTCTGGACAGGGCCGGGTGGACGCCCACAGTTGACCCTTGATATCATGCTGGTTCCTTCTTGGGGACCTTGTGTTGATGTTCAACTTCCCTGGGCAAGCCCACAGCCAGCTGGACCCCCACTGAAGCCAAGCAGAGGTGCCCCTCCCACAGGTGCCTGTTGGGGAGGGGCACCCTGAAACATCACCGTCCTCCCTCCCACCTTCCCCAGGCTGTGCAGAAAAGCTGCTTGCGCGATTTTGAGGGAGAGGAGAATATGGGGTCCACAGAACCCCTCAGGGGCTAAGAATGAGGCTTCAGCCCTGTTCTAGGCTCATGAGTTTTGGAGACTCTGGCAAGTTAGTCACCTGCCCTTGTGCCTCAGTTTCTCCACGAGGTATGCAATAAGGATGCTGTGAGCCCCAAGCACATGGTCAAGCCCAAATGGGAATCTCTTTTGAGTCCTGAAGGCCCCACCTGTGCACTTTGGGTTTGCAGCTGGCCCATCCTCACTCCCCCGTGGGGAGCAGATGCTGTCTCTGCATTAGCTGAGCCCCAGGGGCAGCCAAGGCAGAACTGCGGAGAGGGCACAACTGCTGGGCACACGGGAGGGACGCACTATCCAGCTGGGCGTGCACAAGGGACGCACCTCACCCTTGCATCCCCGCCCCAAAGCTCTGTGACCAGCAGGCTCCCCTGCACTCACATGTGTCTGCTCCCGGGGGTGGGGGACACGGCGGCCTGTGTGGACCTGGTGGGAGACCCACTGCTCCACCGGGATGGATGTGACCGTGGTGGGAGCCATCGTTCCCCATCTGCGAGCGGAAGCCTCCTTTTCCCTGCGGGGGCAGACCCTGAGCACTGTCATCGGAAGCGGCGAGGTGGCTGCCACCGTGGGCAAAGCCCTTGGGAGTTTGCTGCCCCCGGATGTGGCCCCACGAGCCATCTGGGCCTGAGCCCAGAGGAAAGCAGCAGCCACGTGCAGAGCCTCCAATCAGTGGCCTTGCTGCCCAGGAGCAGATCTCGGGGAGGAAGTGTAGGACTCCTTTGGAGGTGCTCCTATAGGGTGCTTCTATGGGGGTGCTCCTATGTGGTGGTCCTATGGGGTGCTCCTATGGGGGTGCTCCTATGGGGTGCTCCTATGAGGGTGCGCCTATGGGGGTAATCCTATGAGGGTGGTCCTATGGGGGTAATCCTATGAGGGTGCTCCTGTGGAGTGCTCCTGTGGGGGTGCTCCTATGGGTGAGCTCTATGGGGTGCTCCTATGGGGGTAATCCTGCGGGGGTGCTCCTATAGGGTACTCCTGTGGGGATGCTCCTATAAGGGTGCTCCTATGGGGGTAATCCTATGAGGTTGCTTCTATGGGGTGCTCCTATGGGGGTAATCCTATGAGGGTGCTCCTATAGGGTGCTCCTATGGGGGTAATCCTATGAGGGTGCTCCTATGGGGGTAATCCTACGAGGGTGCTCCTGTGGAGTGCTCCTGTGGGGGTGCTCCTATGGGTGAGCTCTATGGGGTGCTCCTATGGGGGTAATCCTGCGGGGGTGCTCCTATAGGGTACTCCTATGTGGATGCTCCTATAAGGGTGCTCCTATGGGGGTAATCCTATGAGGGTGCTCCTATGGGGTGCTCCTATGGGGGTAATCCTATGAGGGTGCTCCTATAGGGTGCTCCTATGGGGGTAATCCTATGAGGGTGCTCCTATGGGGGTAATCCTACGAGGGTGCTCCTATGGTGTGCTCCTGCGGGGTGCTCCTCTTGGAGTGCTCCTCTGGGGGTACTTGGACAGCCAGGCCCCCAGACCGACTTGCAGTACCTGTGGCTCTGCTCTGCTCTGAGCCCACGGGGCAGCAGTGCTCGCTCAGCCTGTCCTTCTCCAGGACCAGCACTGCTATTCCCCAACCCCGAGGAAAAGCATATGCACGTGCCACTGTCCACCCGTAGGGTCTTGCACTCATCAGAGCGTACCCCCCACAACACAGGTCTCCAAGTATGGACAAGGACCCTCCTCCTTCCCCAGGAGCCCCCTAAAGAGCCAACAGAGCTCTGAGTCGGGGGCCAGGGCGGGGGGCCGGGCACAGAGGTCAGCAGATCCTTGGAGGGACAGACCCCCCAGCCCCCACCTTCCCCGCCCATGTCCCGTGGTTACAGAGGAGCCTAGAAGGAACTTCAGCCCTCAGAAGGGGGGGCTGGCCCCCGCGGTCTGTCACCCCAGTGCCCCCCAGTCCCCTCCTGCTGCTGTTTCCTGACACGGAGAGATGGTCGACCCCACCCTCACCCTGTCCTGTGCCCCAGACACCCTCACCCCTGATGGCCACTCAGGACACAGCCTCTGGCTTTTGTTGTGGGTCCCCTGCACGTCACTGGTCAGGGCTGCCCTTGGTCTCAGAGGAGGAAGCCTCTTGTTTTCCCCCCACAAACACCACTGTGCTCCCTCCCAGCTCCTGTGGTGCTCGCGGGAGCAGGGCTCAGAGCTCTGGGGGGGGGGGGGGGGGGTCCCGTGGCGCCTGCGGGGTTGCGAGGGAAGGTGGCAGCAAGAGTGGTGAGGGCCAGCGAGCTGGGCGGGGGAGGGTGTGTGGGCAGGGACAGTGACAGGACACGGCAGGTTTGCGATGTCTCCGCCACTGTCCTCTGTCCTCGCGCCCTGCTGAAACGGCTGTTCTTAGCTGAAAACTTCTGGTTTGGGGCGTCTCTGTCCAAGGGGGAGGTGGGTGCCTGGGACCTTAGAATTCCTGCCCTGCAGGCACTTGGCTCCATGTGGCTCTGGCCCTGGACCCTCCCCAGTGCAGGGAACGTGCCCCATGGCATCCCTGCACTGTGAGGTGCTCCCTCCTGCCTGGCGGCACTTGCTCAGGCCCGGGAGATGTGACCACAGCCCCCTGCCTCCCCAAGGATGCAGGCCAAGGCCCCGCCTGGGAGCAGCTCAGGCCCGGGTGTATCATCGCCAGAAGCCCAGGAGTATCACCGTCAGAGGCTAAGAGTATCACAACCAGAGGCCCGGGAGCAGCTCAGGCCCGGGCGTATCACAATTAGAGAATTAGAACCCCAGGAGTATCACAGTCAGAGACCAGGAGCAGCTCAGGCCCGGAGTATCACAGCCAGAGGCCCAGGAGTAGCACAGTCAGAGGCCAAGAGTATCACAGTCAGAGGCCAGGGAGCAGCTCTGGCCCGGGAGTATCATGGTCAGAGGCCCAGGAGCAGCTCCGGCCTGGGAGCAGCCCAGCACAGGCTCTGAAACATAAGTCACGGCACGTGATGTTCTCTTGCCTCGACTTAAGGCAAAGTTTAATGCTGTTTCTTTCTGTGTTCTGCTCTGGGGACTGGTAAGGGCGGGTGGGTCATGATGACCCCAGG